ACCAGGGCACGCGATTAGCCCCTCCCGAGACTATCCCTGAGCAGTTCTGCAGGAGCTGGAGCGCACCTGGCCCCATGATCCCCATGGGCATTGCTGGCAAAGCCCCGCCCACCGTGGGAGATGCACCTGCCATAAAACCAACGCTTCTACAAGGCCAAGGGCGCCACAGAGCCAGCCCGTGCTCCCCGGGGGCGACAGGCTGAACGGGAAGTGCCCGCACACCGATGGAATCCTGCAAAACGGAATGAGGAACCTGGGTGCACTTCCTCCCCTGGGCACCAGACACAAGCTCGTGGCACACGGGTCCGTGTCTGAGTCTTCACAGCTTGGCTGCACTCCCTGGGAGGGCTCGCATGGCTGAAATCAAGGTGTTCCCCAAAGCCGTTTTGCTGAGGCTGGGTCGGGGCCCTTCCTCTCAGCTCCCAGTGACTCATGCCACGGCAGCTGCCCCTCAGGGCCGGCGGCACCTGTCTGCAGCCTGGCACAGAGGGCTGGTTCCAGCCCAGGTTCCACAGCGCCCCATAGGTCAGGCCCACACTCAGGCACGTGTCCCCACCAGCCACCAGCGGGGCAACCTGGGCCGCCAGGTGCTGAATCGGGCGGTGCCCAGGGACTAAGTTAAACAAAGGGCCCCTTTGCACGTGGTGGCAGAGTCTGTCTTGGAGCAGACAGGCCTGTCCCCCGATCAGGAGAGATCTTGCTCCAGCTACAAGGTCTGGGTGTCAGCAGGGAGCTGCCTCACCCACCTGCCCAGTCCCCAGCTATCCTGCAGGGAGCCTTCCGCAGTCCCAGGAAGGGCGCAGCCGCACCTGCTGCATCTCAGGTAGTGGAGCCGCAGGCAGTAGACAGACCGGCCCAACCCACAGCCACGTCCGGCACCAGACTCACATTGTCCCAACGTAACCTAGAAAAATGACCTATTGCTAACGGCGCTGGCCAACAGCAGGGTCCGAGACACCACAGAGAAAATCCACCCTCTCCTGTTAGGGGTCTTAATGGATTAAGCAAATGGAGAGAACATAGGGTTAGGAACATGGCCCTGGGGACTTTTCGTTCAGTGAAATGGGGAGGACGCTCTGGCAGGTTCAGTGCAGGCTGCCCTGCCCCAGGTGCACGGACGATACCTGAACCCCCCGATTTCCCCGTGAAGTCAGCTGGTAGGAGAGCCCCCGGAACAAGCAGATCACAGTGCTTTGTAAAAGCAGCAAGGGGTGTGATGGGGTGCAGACCTCTACTCCACTTACCACATCACACTGCACACCTACTCCAGGTGCTCCCTGCAGACAGCAGGAAAGGCCCGTCCCCTAGTGTGGTGTGGTAGGGAGGAAGCAGGCTGGAGTGCCCAGTGCCAGTGACCCCCCCAACACCCTGTGACCAGCCTTCAGCCAGGTTGGAGTCCACCAGAGACCTTCATGCCCTTTCATGTGAGGATATGAGCCTAGGTTTAAGCTTCCAACCATCCACCTTGCACAACCTTTTTTTTCTCTTTTGAGACAGAGTCTCGCTGTCACCCAGGCTGGAGTGCAGTGGCACATCTCGGATCACTGCAATCTCTGACTTGCGAGTAGCTGGGATTACACGTGTGTGCCACCACTCAGCTCATTATTGTATTTTTAGTAGAGATGAGGTTTCAGCATATTGGCCGGGCTGGTCTCAAACTCCCAACCTCAGGTGATCCACCCACCTCGGCCTCCCAAAATGTTAGGATTACAGGCATGAGCCGCTGCGCTTGGCCCACCTTAACTTTAGAGGACAAGATTCCCAAACATACAAACTGATCAAACTCAGCACGTACACTGTAGACATGAAACAGTAGCCAACAGCCTCCAAATCATCTACTAGATGGCTTAGGATCTGTTTCCAAACAAGCAAGGTGTCATCAGGTACCAAGTGTGACTGAGTGCAGCAGCAGAGGTACCAGCATCACCCATTTCCACGCCAGTAACAGCCCACTGGGTGCCTCAATGCCTGCACCTGGCAAAGGCATGCAGAGAAAACAATCTGACTCGGTCCCTGAAGCTGCTTCTCTGGGGCTGTCATGGCCATAGCTGCCAAGGAGAGCAGGTGCTGCTGTGAGCTGGTAGGACCAGGGCAGCCTGTGTCTGGTGTCTGGGCACTGCACAAGGAACCATGCTGCCCTCGGACACAGAAGACATGGGGATGCCCAGCTCAGACCAGGGCACCATGGCACGCTCTCTGGCTGCCTCTCGCCCACGAAGCAAAAACAATGGCTTCAGAATGTTTAACGGGAGAGGCCGACACTTGGCAGGGCCATCTAGTACCTTGGTGTCGGGGTGAAGACGCCCAGCGAAGGGAAGGGTCAGGACCATGGTCACCAGGCACAACAGGCTCAAGAACGATGCCCCGAAGTCCAAGATGCTACATTAACTAGAAACTACTTTGCTTAAAAGAGGCAACTCTAGGTTGGGTGCAGGGTCTCGTGCCTCTAAACCCCTCTACTAGAAAAGCTGAGGGAGGATTGCTTGAGGCCACGAGTTCAAGGCTGCAGTGAGCCATGACTGTGGCACTGTACTCCAGCCCTGTGTGCCAAAGACCTTATCTATTTTTTTAGACAGTCTCACTGTTGCCCAGGCTAGAATGCAGTGGTATGATCTTGGCTCGCTGCACCCTCTGCCTCCTGGGTTCAAGTGATCCCCTCACCTCAGCCTCCCAGTAGCTGCGACTACGAGTGCATGGCACCACACACAGCTCATTTTTAAATTTTTAGTAGATACGGGATTTTGCCATGTTGGCCAGGCTGGTGTTGGACTCCTGAGCCAATCCCAAAGTGCTGGGATGACAGTGTGAGCACCAGCCCAACGGATCCCTGCATGGGTGCAGTGGGAGCACCAGTCCCCACCTTATCTCTTTAAGAAGAAAAAAAAAAGTCCACTCGGCCAAAGTCAGCCTCTGTAACCTCCCCACAAGAAAACCATTTTACATCAGCCACTGACCAAACCACCCAGTGCTTTAACACAGAAAGGAAGGCATAATCCAGGGCTTGGACTGTCTTTCAAGAAAGCCCCAAATCCCCTGTAAGGAAGTCACAGCAGCGAAACCCCATCCCAGGCCCAGCAGCTCCCACGAAATACACCACGGGGAGACCCAGCGTGACTGCTGACTGATTACAAGTCCCCAGGAGGGCTTTATTTTTTCTTTTCAACATCCTGTTCTGCGGCTTCCTTGGCTCTTTTTGCCCGTATGCCGAAGAGCCGGGCGTTGGCACGGGCCATGCGGAGACTAGCGAAGGCTTTGAAATTCTTCTCCTCCTCAGTAATGACTCGAGCTTTCTCCTTCTTATAGACCTAGAAGAGAAACACAAGTTGTTGAACCCAGTGTGTCAATGGGCAAAGGCACAATGAGGCATCATCAGAACCCAGGGGACTTCGGGGGACGTAAGGGCAGGTGTGCTGCCCAACTGCGGAAAAGCGACTCTTGAGTCAGTCATCTTCCCTGTGATTTAAAAAAAAAAAAAAAAAAAGAAAAGAAAAGAAAAACCCTCCCTGCCTGAGCTACACACGGCAGCTTAGGTCTGTAAATCCCAAAATTCAAAACCAGTGTAAGCAACATAGAGAAACTCTCTTTCCAAAAAAACTTCCCAATTTACGGCTTCGTGGTTGCAAGAAGTAAAAACTAAGAAATATTCTTTTCCACAAACCTCCACACACAGCACAACTGCCACCATTAACTTTCTTAGGCCTGATCCCCATCTCAGATATCCATGTGTTCACCCACTGATCTCGTCTAAAGCTGGATTTGAGCAAGTGTTAACTTACATTCCGGATGGGCATGACCGGTCCCGTCAGCTGGGTGGCCAGTTTCAGTTCTTCAGCCTGTTGATGAACGAGAAGAGTTAAGTGCCTTTAGCCGCGCTGCCCCAAGGACTCCACCCCCGCCTGGCCCGAAACTTCCCCCTGGGGATCCCGAGTTCAGCACCAGTGTCTGAGCCTTTCCTCCAACATACTTTGTGTCCCCAGTGTTGAGAACAGTCATTACTAGTTAGGTGGCTATCTTACTGAGTTGACACAACACGCATGAGACAGTTATATCTACCTGTGAACCAGGAACGGGGCAGAGAAAATCGTTCCTTAATTCAACTACCCGGAAACGTATACAATGGACTTTTATCAACCTTACCCTACAAGGTTTTTCTAGAATATTTTGGAACACGAAGCATTTTTTTTTTTTTTTTTTGAGACGGAGTCTTGCTCTGTCGCCCAGGCTGGAGTGCAGTGGCCGGATCTCAGCTCACTGCAAGCTCCGCCTCCCGGGTTTACGCCACTCTCCTGCCTCAGCCTCCCGAGTAGCTGGGACTACAGGCGCCCGCCACCTCGCCCGGCTAGTTTTTTGTATCTTTTTTAGTAGAGACGAGGTTTCACCATGTTAGCCAGGATGGTCTCGATCTTCTGACCTCGTGATCCGCCCGTCTCGGCCTCCCAAAGTGCTGGGATTACAGGCTTGAGCCACCGCGCCAGGCCAGAACACGAAGCATTTTAGGGAGACAATGATTTCAACGGAAAAAGCTGGCTCCAAGTCACACAGCCTTTGCCGTGACCACTAAGGTCATCCCTGCTGAAAACCACAGGTGAACCTTAGTAGTCCCGATTAGCTCGTCATCCTGCAAGACAGGCGTATCCTGCGGATCACAACGGCCACGAGGTTTTGGTTCTTCTCACCCCAGCAGGGCCCAGGGACGGGTGTCGCCGATAAAGGAACCCGGCCTCACTTTCCCCGCGCGCCAGGACGGCCGGAGAGCCCTGTACTCACAGAACTGTCTCCCTTCTTGGGGGCCGAGGGCTTCCTGGGGAAGAGGATGAGTTTGGAGCGGTACTCCTTCAGCCGCTGCACGTTGGCCTGCAGGGACTCCGTGGACTTGTTCCGCCTCCTCGGATCCACAGAGATGCCGATGGTCCGCGCCACCTTCTTGTGAACGCCGGCCACCTGCCCCAGAAGCGGAGAGAGATGGAGGCGGGCCCGGGCCTTCGCCGCCGCGAGGCCCGGATGGAGAGGCCCAGCGATCAGATGGAAAAGGGTTCAAACGTGCTTTCATCAAGGCCGTCCAGCGATTCCGGAGAATGTCATCACGCGACTGAGGCCAGCACAGGGGACTCAGGGCCCTCCCGACACCGCGGCGCTGCCACTACTCACCCTGAGCTCCTCCAGGCTGAAGCCGCGGCCAGCGCGCACCTTCGTGTGGTACCGAACCGTGGGGCAGCGCACGATGGGCCGGATGGGCCCCGACGCGGGGCGCGGGGCGATGCGGCGCGCCTTGGCTTGCCGGGCCTTGCGTCTGGTGGAGAGAAGCCCGGCGGCGGTCACCCTCGCCTAAGGCCGCCAGGCGAGTGCTCCGCGGCGGCCGCAGACAGCGCCCCCCGCCCTGGCACCGGCCACCCCCAAACCAAGGCGCAGCCGCGGGCGCGAGCCCCAGGGGCGCCCCGAGCGCAGGGCTCACCTGCGGATCTTCCGGGCCGGCTGGTTGAACCACGTGGCCACGCGCCGCTGCCAGTCCTTGTGGAAGTGGGGCTTCAAGATCATGCCATTCCGGCTGGGCGCCATGGCTGCCTACGGCCCTGCGGCTGCGAACGCGAGGGAGCGAGTGAGAGGCCGCGCCCCGGGCGCGCGCACCCCCCGGACCTCCGCCCTGAACCCTCCAGCCTGGGCCGTCCGGCCGCGCCTAGAGCCCGGGCCCCGGCCCAACGCTGTCTGCGAAAAAGAAGGGGCCCATCCATGCCCGCGCTGGCAGCAACGCCAGGCCGATGGCGCCGGATGAAGCCCAAAGGCCGGGACCGAGCCTAGCTCACCTCCTGCGCAGGAAGACAACCGAGCGGAAAGGAAACGGCGCCGCAATGCACCCTGGGATGATAGCAGGGCCGGCCAACCAGAAGCTCCGGGCGCTCTGACCAATCAGAGCCCGGAAAGGAGGAACTGACGTCACCGCGCTCTCTCAGGGCCGCCCTCGCAGACATGGCGTCGCTCACAGTGCGGCGGCGGGGCCGTGATGCCCGGGCCCTGCGGACCCCGCGGCCGGACTTGCTTGACGTCCGCCGTTACTGCCCCGGCGCTTCAGCCGCTGCGCGGGCCGCGGTGGGCTCAGGCCGAGTCCCGCCTTGCGGACTAACGCGCGCGCGGCAAGCATCTGGGCGGACGGCGAACAGGCGACGCCCCGGCAATTCTAAGTTTGTTCGCGTTTGTGGGACACGTTTGTAGCGCAAAGGCAGGAAAACTGCAATGAGATCCGAGTCTGCGCAACCTAAGGCCGTCGTCCTCCTTGTTCCAGCGTTTATTCTCCTCCCATCCATTTAGAACTTTTTTATATTGAGACAAGAGCCTCACTCCGTCGCCCAGGCTGGAGTGCAATGGCGTGATCTCGGCTCACTGCAAACTCTGCCTCCCGAGTAGCTGGGATTACAGGCGCCCGCCACCACACCAGGTTAATTTTTTGTATTTTAGTTTAGTAGTAGAGACGGGGTTTCACCGTGTTGCCCAAGCTGGTTTCGAACTCCTGAGCTCAGGCAATCCGCCCGCCTCGGCCTCCCAAAGTGTTGGCATTACAGGCGTGAGCCACCGCGCCCGGCCTATGCTGGTTTTTTAAAAGATAAAATTAACATATCTTGAGTGTTTTTGTAAGCAGGGAGTTCAGTTCCGGATGTGCATTTTCACATCGAATCCACACAACTCCGTAAGGAGCAGTTACTGTTGGCCTCTGTCCCCCCTTTCCCTTGGCCCAGGATTAGGTGACTTCTCTAAGGTCAGGGGTACCCAACTGAAAACGTCACATTCTGACCTGCTGTGCCTACTGCCTCCCTTCACAAAGAAAAGCATCAACAAAAAGCCAGCTCTTACTCTCTAGTGCAAGTCTGTGAAGGCACCATCCATCTTACTGCTACCTGGAAACCTTTAAATCTTAATAACCCTCTTTCTTCCCTACCCTCACCCAATCACCAGCCTTCCTCCTGGTAAAACTTAGTCCACATTTTAAGAATTTCACAGTCCCGGCCGGGCGCGATGGCTCACACCTGTAATCCCAGCAGTTTGGGAGGCCGAGGCGGGCGGATCACGAGGTCGGCAGATCGAGACCATCCTGGCAAACACGGTGAAACCCCGTCTACTAAAAATACAAAAAATGAGCCGGGTGTGGTGGCGGCGCCTGTAGTCCCAGCTACTTGGGAGGCTGAGGCAGGAGAATGGTGTGAACCGGGGAGGCAGAGCTTGCAGTGAGCCGAAATCGCGCCACTGTGCTCCAGCCTGGGCGACAGAGCATGACTCCGTCTCAAAAAAAAAAAAAAAAAAAAAAAAAAAAAAATTTCACAGGCCGGGGATGGTGGCTCACACCTGTAATTCCAGCACTTTGGGAGGCCGAGACGAGTGGATCACCTGATATCAGGAGTTGGAGACCAGCCTAGCCAACATGGCAAGATCCTGTCTCTACTAAAAATACAAAAATTAGCCGTGTGGTAGTGTACGCGTGTAATCCTAGCTACTCCAGAGACTCAGACGGGAGAATCATTTGAACCCAGGAGGCGGAGGTTACAGAGTCAAGACTGCGCCACTGCACTCCAGCCTGGGTGACAGAGTTAAGCCTCCGTCTCAAAAACAAAAAATTTAGGGCTGGGTGTGGTGGCTCACACCTGTAATCCCAGCACTTTGGGAGGCCGAAGCAGGCAGATCACGAGGTCAGGAGATGAGGACCATCTCTACTAAAAATAAAAAAAATTAGCCAGGCGTGGTGGCACGCACCTGTGGCCCCAGCTACTTGGGAGGCTGAGGCAGGAGAATTGCTTGAACCCTGGAGGTGGAGGTTGCAGAGAGCCAAGATAGCACCACTGCACTCCAGCCTGGGCTACAGAGCATGATTCCATCTCCCAAAAAAAAAAAAAAAAAAAATTAAAAATAGTAAAATAATTTCACAAAAGGCTCGGTACAATGGCTCACACCTGTAATCCCAACACATTGGGAGGGCAAGGCAGGAGGATCACTTGAACTCAGAAATTACAGTCTAGCCCTGTCTCTGCAAAAAATACAAAAATTAGGCATAGTGGTGCATGCCTGTGGTCCCAGCTACTTGGGAGGCTGAGTCAGGAGGATTGCTTGAACCCAGGAGATTGAGGCTGCAGTGAGCCGAGATGGCGCCACTGCACTCTAACCTGGGCGACAAAGCAAGACTGTCAAAAACCAACACAACAGGAAAAAAATGATTACTGAGGACACGACCCTTGGCTACACCAGCTAAAACCTTCCCAACTATGTGCTGCTCTTTGGATTTGAAGAACTTGGGCAAAGGTCAAGGCGTCTCTCAGAGATGCCCCCACTTGGGTGTGTGACCGCACCTGTGGCTGCCTCCTTACTGCTCTGCCGGCGTTTCTCAGGGCACTCAGTGTTGCAGCAACAACAGGACAATCCACTCACGTCACTGCACCACAGGGAGGGCAGACGCAAGGAGGCCAGAGTGGGAGCCGCATGCCCCGGAACACAGGGCCAGGGCGTCCTGGGTCATCCTCTATCCCTACAGGGTCCAGGCCCCCGATTCCTACAGGAGTTTTCCACTTAGTCCCTGCATTACTCAAATGACAAACTGAAACCACAAGACCCTGTGATCCAAGGTAAGCCCGCCAGCTCCCCTGCATTAGAGCTGGCCAGACAATGCAGATGTAGATTTTCCAACCACAGAGTTTATTAGTAAAGTGTCTCAACAGTTCTCAGGGCAGAAAAAACCAAGGCATCCCCCAACACTGCATGTTTGACTAGACCAGCAAGAAGTCCTCAACATGCACCGTCCACATGGCAGCAGGGGGCAGTGTTGAGTCCCCTGGAGCCCAGTGCCTGGGCCGGACTGTGTGGCCCCATTGACGAGTGAGCTGGAGGACGGGGCTGCTGGCTCAGAGGGTCCTTTCATGTCCGATCCCGTTAGCATTCTGAGGGAGCCACAGGAACTGGGAGGCCGGGCAAGCGTCGGCATGAACAGCGGTCCGTTCGGAGTCTGAATGCTCTGCTGCCTCTGGGTGGCCTCAGCCACGCTGGGAACGACTGTCTAGAACCTTGGGAACTCAGGTGTTCCATGCTCACTCGGGAACACACTGAGAACCTTCCCCACAGGGGAGACGACGCACACACACAAGGCTTGGCCAGTTGTTTCTGCAGAGAAACTTACAATCATGAAAAGGGTAATCAACAAACAGATCTCAGAAGTCGCTGCAGAGGGACTACTGAGGGCCGCAAGAGGAAGTGCAAACCTCAGTTGAAAAGCAACGCAGGGTGGCTGAGTGAGCCCTCAGTTCTCGGGTCACCCGCACGTGCGGCCGACACGTCCCAGCTACTTGGGCCAAGTCGGCTCTTCGCCTCCAAGTGGGGGCTGCTGGGTCTCTTCGGCCTCCTCCTCTCCCGAGTCCTGTTTCTCCCTCTGGGCGTCGACCCACCTCTGCGGTGCGATCATTTTCTTCGGCCCGTGGGGCGGCGGGCCAATGAGAGCCTCGATGTCCTCATAGTTTATCACTTCCTTTTCCAGAAGGGCGTTTGCCAGCTGGAAAGAACAGGCACAGCAGTGTGAGAGTCCCCAGGACAGACACAGAGCATCTTTGTCCCAGGGAGGTGACGAGAGGCGTGCGGGCCTGTGTGCAGGACACCCGGGACAGGCCACTTTCCCAGGGAAGCGGAGGCACGGAGGCAGCTCCCAAAGAAGAATCACCCCCATCTCAACCTCATAAATGATTTTCCGGTGGCCAGCCTCATTAATTTTTCTACTTCCCTTCAAAATCTTGGCTTATTTTTGGCAACTGCAATTTCTTTCACCAGACAAGATGTGCGTGTCTACAGGGAAGGAGACGGGTAAAACGCTGCACCCTCCTGATTGACACAACACCGGGAGAAGGAATCTGAGGAGAAGTTGTGTGAGCTGGCACCTCTCAATTTGGGGAAGGGAATTTCAGCCACTCTAGGTGGGATCTTGGAAAACACTCGAGATGCCGACTGTCCTGTGCCGGTGGCCCTGCCTCTGGGGTGGCCTGGCCCGACCACAGAAAACACTGCCACAGCCACATTTCACTGGTTTCCGTGAAGGAAGAACTCTTCCAGATTTTCTTTCTCTTTT